ACCGCTCTTTGGCTCCAGGGAAACCGTCGTCCGTGGCCGGGATAAGGTTCATGGAGTTTCTTGAGGATGATGAAACAGCGTTCGATAACCTTTACTGCGTAGCTTTCCAGATGATGGACGCACAATGGCTTGCCAAACGAGCTTCTTACATGGATTTCAATGTAAATTCTTCTTCTTCTTTTTTCTTATATGCGATGTTGATCCGGTTCGATTCGGTTTGATTCTGAATTTCGGTTATGATAACCGGGAATTCTGGGTTGGTTCGGTTTGGCAGGACGTTTTGAAGTCGACGAGAACGCAGTTGGAACGTGAATTGGCACTTGAGGACATTTCGAGCATCAGGGACTTGCCTGCTTTCAATTTATTGAGGAGATCATAAATCTGCATTTCCCTTCGCCCTACTATTTCTTCCTGTATTTATATTATATATACATATATATATATATATATGTATATATGATTCTGGTAATTTCTTATAATAATTAAACCACTTTCTCGAGTAATTTGTAATACGCGAGGAAGACAATGAAACAAAATGTAGATTCCTTTTTTATTTCCCCGGAGAATCAAATCAAATTGTAATTCGATCTACAGGAACTGCAGTATAATTCTCTTTATTATTTATTTTCTTTGTATTTACGCATCAGAATTCATATACAGTGCATGTGTATATGCACATAGAATTATAAAAAAAATGTCATGATTTAGATAAATTATGAATAAAAAATACAGGATGAAACCCGGAAGAGAGAGAGAAGAGAGAGATTGAACGTGGGCCAACGTAGGTAAACGCAGAGACCATAGTGGGCCCATCCACTTAAATTCAGCTCAATCATGGCCCACACTATCTCGGGCTTATCTTTTTCACCCAAATCCACGACTCAGCTACGTCAGCCCAAACCACAATGCTAGTCCCATTTTTTTTTCTTTACTATAAAATATAATATATATATATATATATATATATACACACACACACACACACAATAATAATAACCCAAGAATTTCGATGTTTCAAAACCACAAAGTATACAACTCGCCAAAAAAAATGCAAATAATTTCTTTTTTCCAAGAAAACCATGCTTTTATTTTCCCGGAAAAAAAAAAACACCTCCTTTAATGTAACTATATATGAGAACTGCATTAACCTAATAATGCAAATCTCAATATTTACGTTATAAAAACAAAACAAATCTCAATATTTATATATATGTTTTTTTTTTTTTTTTTTTTTTTTTTTTTTTTTTTTTTTTTTTTTTTTTTTTTTTTTTTTTTGCAAACGGAAATGCATTAACTTTAAAACAATAAAGAGACGACAACAACCAGAAAAAAAAAAAACCAGGAAATGCATGAACCACTTTTCACTTCTTGTCCGAGATTATAACGGATTCTTCTGCCGATGGCTTTAGAGCCCACACCTTGAGACGGTCACTTGTCTTCTTAACCTGTAACAAAATTAAAATTAACGAATATAAAAATATAATTCCCAACGTATAATTCGTTATTCTAATTATATTATAAAAAAAAGGACATTAAAAATGAATTACCTCCATTTCCCAATCCGTTTTGTAAATGACATAACACAAGATGAACGTTTGCACTGCCACACCTCCCAACATACCAGCCCAAAGTCCCTACGACCAAAAATTAAAATCATTAAAACTATATACTAACAAATTTCCGTACACACAAAAAAAAAAAAAAAAACAAAGTGGCAACGTAATTAATGGACTTCACTCATCTGACGGTCCAACTAATCAAATTGATATAAATATCATTAATGAAAAAAGTTAGCATTAAAAAAATTGATTAATTACCTTAACACCAAGATGGAAAAAATAAGTAAGGGTGAGACCCACAGGTCTTAAGACCCTAAATTCACAACTGCGACTATACTCTGCATCCCTGCTCCCACGGCCAACCCTATATTCACACAAAATAAACACATTTTATTTCATTTTTCACACCCATTTTCTTATTATATAGATATTAATTATATTGGATGATAAAAGATGGAATATATATATATATACCTGATAGAATGGGTTGGACGCTGTTTAACAAGATGGAGACACCGAGGATGGCCGAGAGATCGGAGACAGCGGCCGAGACCTCGTCGCTGTCGGAGAACAAGTAGGATATCTGGCCGCAGAACGCGAAACACAGGATCGAACATATCAATCCGACCAGCGTTGAGACCGCCAGGATCACTTTTATCGAGAACCTCACCGCGTTTGCGTCTCCTTTTCCCAACTCGTTCGCCACCCGAACACTATACATACATACATACATACATGTATGTATGAGAAGCTATCATATATGTCATAAACCAACATATATATATATATATATATACATGTATATGTGTATAATTCAAGAAATGAAATGTGTAATCAATTGAATCTAAGAGGAGGATAAAATATTTGGAGTATAATAGAGTGTTGTGTACGGACCAAGCTGCACCCATGAAGCCAAGGCATATGTTGAACTCCCATGTATAGATATATTGGCTGCAAAATCAGAAGAATATAACGCATTTATTTATTTCTAATGTTTGCAAATTAATAATGTCTACGAATTTATAATATGATTATTAATATAAAAGACTGCATTTTATATATAACTTGCCATATGGAGAAAGCAGAAATGGCAATTTTTGCATCTTTTGTGTATCCTGCGATCAACACAAGAATGCTCATGTACCAATACTCCAAGCTGTAACAAGGCAAAATCAAACGGAGAAAACATTACAAAAAGAAATTGAAATTCATAATCAAAACATTACATAGGAGAATATGTATATATATATATATATATAAGAGATGATTACCAAATCATGAAACCGGATGAGATGGAGAGCTTGAGCATTGGCATTAGATCCACCAGGGAAGCCATACTAAAGCCGGTCCAAGTGAAAGGACACCAACCTCCGAACACATACACCAACTCTCCGATCACCATAGCCCACGAGCTTATGTTCAAGCCGAGCAACGCGCCCGTGAACCCCATCCCCATCCCGCACACGAACCACCACGAGAGGGCGATGTCCAGCACGAGAGAGAGCGTGGAGAGAATGCCGATGATGGCGTTCTTCATCTGAGCCTGTAGGTACATCTGCATTGTCATCGAGAAGATCAGGCTGTACAGATAAGGTATGACCCACGGGTAGATTTCGTCGACGGTGCGGGTGATCTCTAGGTTTTGGCCGAGGAGGCGGAGGATCGGGGCCGAGAGGATGATGAAAGGGAGGAAGAATGGCGTCTGCGACTCTGAGAAGACGGCTTCATCATGGGGATGTGGATGGGAGGAGATACGAAAAGTACGACACTACGGACACTGAAGATCTGAATGAACCACTGTTGGGTAGTAGTAATAGTAGTCATAGAGATGAGTACAATGAGGTCAGTGGGTTTCGTGTTGTTCTTTATTTTCAAGTTCTGTGCTTAAAAGGAGAACCTTTCTGGATGAACCAAATCCAATGGTGTTTTTGTAGGACCGTACGCTGGAGGAGATATGGGATGAAGAACGAAAGAGGCAGCAGGTTTGCTCCGCTCCGTATGCTTGCCCACATAGCGTCTCTGTCGCGCTTGACATCCCTCCCTATGCGACCATAATTAATCCGTGAATCGTATCGTTATACACATACACACACACACAATATACATACATATATATATTTGTATGTATGTATGTATGTATACTGTTCACACGTTGTTATAGCTAGAACGTTGGTATGTGTACATTGAGATAGATGATTTAATTATGTCAATGCGTATGCAAGGATTCAAGTTTTGGGAAAGAGACCACGTAGACATGAATATCATATATGATTAGGAAATTATATATATATATACACACGTGTGTGTGTGTGAAATGATGGAATTAAAGGGTACAACAAAAACGACAAATGTGAAATAGGACTAGATATCGTACCCACCATTTATGACTTTAATAAAGTGTACTTGAATATTCTATCAACAAGCATAGAAATTACTAGTCTATTACCACTACTCTAATTAATGCCCATCCTTTCTTTATCCTTATCTTTTTTTTTTCTTTATCCTTATCACAAGATTATTTTCATAAATATTTCCAAGCCTCTTTTTATGTTTACGAGGTCTATATACATGAACGATCATATAATCCCATATAGGTCTGGGCGTTTCGGTTCGGTTCTCCGGAATCGGACCGAACTGAAATACGGTACTTTTTTCGATCCGAAACCGTTTTTAATTCCCGAACGACATCATTTTTAAGGAACCGAATTTTCCCAGAACCGAACCCAACTTTAAAAATTCCGAAAAACCGAATATTTGTAAAAGAAATCTATATTTTTTTTAATAAAACCCGGAACCAAACCGAACCGAATACAATATAAAAAATGATTGGTACCTATTTTTGTAAAACCGAAAAAACCGAACCGATCTATTTCCGTCTCGAACCCAAACCGTTTCTCGAAACGCCCACCACTAATCCCATGTATAGTCATAGTCATACATATACATTGCACGTAATTTCGCTTGTGAGGGTACGGTGGACCCATCATGTTAAACATAGGGTCACGTGCCCCTGTTCCTAAAACAGAATACATAAATTTTTATTATAGAATTTTAGATAAAACTGCTACATTGCCCCCTAATAAATTTAAATTTATATCTAAAAACTTATACTAAATTTAGTAATGCCTCCAATTATAAAAATTCGTCCGCTACTATTGTGAGGTGTGTATAGATTTTTTTTTCTGTCTAAAATACGATTTATTTCAGAACAAAAAAGTAGGACTGACGAAATGCGATCGTTACATTGTTCGGTAGAATTATTAAATTTTGGGAAGGCAATGACAACGAGGCAGCAGTCAGAGACGGGGGGACAACGTTGTGGATTAAATAAAACAAAACCACGTGACATATTTTAATGCAGTCCAAGTGGGCTGGTCCGACACATAAAATTGATCGAACTTTTTGTATAATTTAACTCTAAAATATTAACAATCAGCATTTGATATCTCGAGTTAGATAAGAAAATCCAAATTTCAAATTTATAAAATTAGATCCTACCTTTGTTTTTCAAAAGAAACACACTGGATACTTCCACACAACTTGTTCGATTTTGAAACTTCCATGTCTACACATACATGTTATATAATTTCATATTCCAACCACTATATTACAAAGTTTAATTATCCGTATCTAAACACCACACACGAATACACATATATACATATACATATATAGTGTGTGATGCATGCAGTGGCGGATCTAGTAGGGTATAAATTTAATATTACGTTGATAAAATTTTATTTTTTTACCATGGAGAAAATAATAATTTAAATTAAAATATCATAAATTGTATAAAGGAAGATAGAAATTTTAATTAAATGAATGGGGGCGGATTTAGTTGGCCATGAGTCAATTTCACGAAGCTCTATCGGACATATAAAGACAAAATTGAAGTCATTATACATACATATATATATATATATATAGGGTGACGTGGACTTACAAGTAAACCGTAGAGGAAGCGAATGAAGGTGCTTTGGAGGAGGGCATAGGCGGCGAGGCCGACGTCGCTGGTGTGACCGATGAATGA